TTTTTAGAATGAGCATTCTGAAACAGTAAACATTCTGCATATTCAGGCAAGGGCATTTACTGATATTACTGATAATTCTAGATTTACATCCCAATTTTGGATAAAACAGCCCAAATGGCATTTAAGTAAAAATGATGTTGACATTTAATCTGGTGTGTTTGCTGAACAATTCTTTAGATTTTTTTTTGTTTTTGCATCATTATTATTAGCCTAAGATATGAAAACCCATATTCATTTTAAAAACATGAATTGTGCAATGTATGTATTCTATTCTAAACACATATTTTTTACTACGTGATCATCTCGAACAATTGAACCTCTGTATTTGAGAAGCAATTTTGTAGCTTATGTAAAGCTTACACATGGAAAGAAGTCCTATCACTGCAATAATTGCTGGCGATTTAAAAAAAAAATGCTTAAAGACCATCAGTTGGTTTTATTTGCAACCCAGATAAACAGAAGGATTTAAGAGGGAAAGATTAAAGGATTTGCAAAGAAAACGCCCAATATATCAGCTAGACTTCCTTCACTTAGTAGTAAGTAACATGCTGCGATATCAAACACCTGATCTTTAATATTTAATATTTAAACTGCTAGCCCTCTACTCTTGGCAGCATGAATAACCACATTTCATTGGGGAGGAGGGACTCTTAGTTGGTATCAAGATTAAGCATCTCTGAAATATATAGCAAGCTATACAAATAGGAAATAAATATCTTGTTCCAAAGACGTGCTTTACTAATGCTGCCAAGATGTACTGAATGATAAAGAATTTCTTCAATGGATGGATAAACCATCCCCTTCCTTTCAGGACTTGCCAGCATGGCAACATTTATATATATTATACTACTTATTAAAATATTGGGTAAATGGATTTCTGGAAGTATCTACAATAGTCAAATACCAGGAATATTCTGATTCTATTTATTTATTATTATTATTATTATTTATTTTATTATTCATATTTCTATGCCGCCCACTCTCTGAGGACTCTGGGCAGCTTACTAAAGACAGTATACTAAATAGCATATTGCCCCCAACAATCTGGGTCCTCATTTTACCCACCTCGGAAGGATGGAAGGCTGAGTCAACCTTGAGCTGGTGAGATTTGATCCACTGATCTGCTGAACTAGCAGTCAGCTGAAGTATAGCTGCAGTACTGCACCCTAACCACTGCACCACCTCGGCTCTATGATTCTGAATCAAGAGACAGAGTATAGTTTCCATTTTCTGTTATTCTACTTAGGCAATTTTCAAAAGTGACCCTAAAAGCGATTGTGAATTTTCTATAACAAAATTAATTGCTAAGCAATCCCTAATTATCCACAACTTAATCCTTAACCCAACACTTGGGGAATATAATATTTATAGGAAGTAAAATGTGATGCAAATCCCAGCTGTTATTCCTAAAATACATACGTATGCTAACTTTGTGATACAGTAACTCATCTGCTCATCTAACGTATATTGTGTATCCTCAGTGGCTTAGCAAATTAGAACTGAAGTGATCCTCTTAGTTGGGCCAATCACTGTCTCCTGTCTGACCTGTCTCATCTGATTATTTTGGAGATATAAAAAAAGTCTGCTATCCGTAGTCCCCTAAGCTTCTTGAAGGTGCAATGAGATAGATAAGAAATAAACGAATTGCAGCTGTTTCCAGAAAAGCTATTTTTTTTCCTAATACAATCTCATAAAATACCATAATTTGAACTAGTCCCCTCATTTAAATAAGTGATAGAATAAACATTGGGACTTAGATATACTGAGGATCCCCAGAAAAATAAATAGATACTACTGCAATACAATGAAGTAGATTAAGATCAAAAGCAATCCTTTCCTTTTATTTACCGTACCTCCCTAGAGATAGATTTTTCTGGTATTAATTTGTATATGGACTACTGTAACCTTCGCTATTTGGTGAACAATATTCATATGCATTTTTATACAGAAATTGCGTCTGTCTTGACTGCTTCAGATTACACATATCTTGAGTGGAGCATGGGGAACAGGTATTTATTTATTATTTTATTTGGGGCAGGAAGATTAGTGGGATGTTAAAATATTGCTACTTCAAAACTTTTTGTGCTTAAAACAGCAACTGCCTCATACAGTAACCGTCTGCAGTTATAGTGGTGATGAAAAACTAACTTTGCAACCGGTCCTCACATTTATGACCTTCACGGGTCTGTAAAGCACAGAAAAGCTGAAGTAAAATCATAAGCACAGTTGTGGTTTCACTCAGCAATTGCTTCGCTTAATGACTTAGTTGCCGGTTCCAACTGCAGTTGCTAAAAGAGAGCTACCTGCCACACACACATACACATTAATTTTAGTTAATAGGAAAGTTTAACCATTCATTGGAAATTACAGTATTTCTTCTCCTACTCCCTGAACACCATTCAGATTATCTTTGCAGTTTGCATAAGAAAAGTCAATGTGCACAGTAAACATTACCTCTATGGCCAGCTGAAACTGCTCATGCTCTCTCTGGAGCTGCTCAGCCTCTGACAAGGAACTTGCATTGACAAGACTGGCATTGAGCATTGATTCTCCATTACGGATCCAGCCAAGGACCTAGCAGGAAAAACAGACATTTTGAGATAACGATGTTTTTTAACTTCATGAAATAGCTGGGGTTCGGTTGCAGAGTGGATTGAAGTGTCACTAGCATCCAGACGTCACACTAATCTACTTTACTGAGAATTCATGAATCTGTATCTGGAACCACATTTTGAGGTAGATGAGGAAGGTGAGACAATATCAGCAGTGAGTTTCAAAACTTTTTATTACCAGTTCTGTGGGTGTGGCTTGGTGGGCATGGCATGGCTTGGTGGGCATGGCAGGGGAAGGATACTGTAACATTTCCATTCCCTCCCCACTCCAGGGGAAGGTTACTGCAAAATCCCCATTTCCTCCTGATCAGCTGGGACTTGGGAGGCAGAGAATAGATGGGGGCGGGGCCAGTCAGAATTTTTACTACCGGTTCTCCGAACTACTCCAAATTTCCGCTATTGCTTTTCCAGAACTGGTCAGAACCTGCTGAAACCCACCTCTGGACAATATCCAGACAAACTGGAGGTGTAATGAAAATAACAAAGTTGATTTTTCTGGTTAGAGAAATCTTGCTCTTCAAGATTCAGGCCTTCAGGCCTTTTTCACCATTTGACCTTGCCTCATGAGAGATACTGTGCATCGGATGATGCATTTTAGTTCTAATTAGATTTAGTTCAGAAAATTAATTATAATTAAATAAAAGGCATTGGTTTTGATGTAGACTAAGTATAACTAACTTACTCTGGATCTCTATGCGAGTCTATGACCATAATAAAAATTTGGTTTGATTGGATTACTCTGCATCTAATCCAATGAGACAAAATAACTTAGTGCCCTGTGTTACAAAGAAACAAAACCCATATATGAAATACTGTAAAGTACAAATAGTCCTTTATTAAATATCTATAATATGTACATTACATAATTTTTACGGAGTATATGGGATAAAAAATAAATAGAAATATATGAGATATATGATTTACAGATAATTTACTTAAGAAGCTCCTCAAATTGTATTTTATCCAAAAGAGGCAAAGGCACCAGACTTGGCAATGTTACGTAGTTTGTTTCATGCAACTTTTTTCCTGAAAAATATTTCCATTTTCCAGATACATTTGTCTGTAGCTCCTTGAAATATTTGACATGGCTATAAACAAGATACCATCAACTTTCTTTTTATTTGTTGTTTTCATGTTTGTAAAAATTTATTGCTTCACAAAATAAAATTCAGCTGTTATTTGATACTCATCCAAAATCCATCTGTAGATGAAGTAAGAGCAAGGAAATTAATTAACAGTTATATTTAACTATTATTGCTACACAGCAATGTCTAACAAACGCCCTTAGCCATCCTCATACAATCTTTTATTTTACATCTAGGTATCTTTTTTGCCACTTCATCTCGAAGAACTCCTCCAAAAAGTGTGGGGGAGGTTTCCTCTGGGATCGACAAGCAGCAAGAGTCTGCCCAAACATATTCCATCCAAGGCCTGCTCTTTCAAGCAGCAACTACAGCTTCAGTTGAACTAGGTGCTAAGACTTCAGAAACAACGACAAACTCCCTTTGAAGTCCAACTGAGTATATAATGTCCCTGGGCCAGACCAAATAAATCTGGTGGAATAAGACGACTCACAGCAGCCAGTTCGGCATGGATGGTTGGGCATGGCCAGGTGACTGCGACTGGGTTTGCATGGCCGGGTGGGCAGAGAGGAATGGGCATGAATAGATTGGAGCAGATAACTTGGTGCAGATGACTCAGTGCAGCCATGTGGGTATGGATGGGTCAGCATGGAACAAATCACCCTGGCCAACTGAATGTGGGTACAACTCAATGTCCTACCTCGCCTCCCTGAACTGCCAGCAGCTGAGCACGCATCTCCCAGAACTAGCACTGGAGCCCGGGGGTGGTTCATCCGCCACCTCCCCGAGAACAACTTCCCTATCACTCTCTTTTCCTCCTCTTTCTCCTCCTCCAGCCAGACTGGAGGCTGTGAAGATCTGGATGGGGAGGAACCGGCTCCTTCTCAACCCTAACAAGAGGCAGATTTTGGCCCACCTGGATCTCAAGAGCTGTCATGTTTAAATCTTCCCCAAGGGAGACAAAACCTCACCTTCTCCAAACCTTGCTGTCTACACATCAAGCCTCAATTTGATGCTTTTTGCCTCAAATTCACTAAGTAAACTTAAGTAACTCTTATTAGTATTTATACCCTGGAAATACTTATAAGTGTTCTAACTCTTGCAGTTATTTTGTCAATATTATAATAATCTTTTTCTTTCAATTCTTTAGTATAAAGAACTGTGAAAAATCAATCATTTATCTTGTGATATTCTAAAGATTTGCAGTGCCTTTTCTAACTTTAAATTTACTACCTTGGCATTGAAATTTATAGAGTACATAGAGGAAAACAGAAAACTTTATTAAATGAGAATAGCGGGAAAACAACCATTTAGAATGTCCATTGTCCTGAAGCGCAACCATATGTCAGCATTCTAGAATGCTCCAGACTTTGTACTGCATTAGCAAAAGTTAAGTAGGGTTAGCACCATGAGCTGTTTGGTGGCAATCTACTTTTCCTTGGCTTCTAAGAGCAAGAGTTACTTGCTAATAAATTTAAGACCATTTGTTGCCTCAACTATTCCAAAGTGAAAGTAAAGTACACTTGGCTCTCTACTGAAAATGAATAGCAAGCCAAAATCAATACAGATTCCAATTTTACTAAATGATGTCACTTATGACTCATTCTTCAGGAAGCCAAATTTAGCCAATACCTACCACAGTATGACAGGGCCATGATATATTTAAATTCAGCTGCTTCCAAGGAAAGCTATTGCTGCAATAATTCACAAGTCAATAAGCCATTGACTTTTAAAATATGGATCTGAACAAATAAGATCTTGCCACAGACTTCCTGAAAAGTATCTGAATGAAGAAAGCTCATAAATACTTTTAAAGAAATTAGTGAATCACAGGTTGTCAACCTTTCCAGGTAGACCAGAAAGACCAGGTGAGCTAATTCTACTTTATTGTAAGCCTTCATTAAGAGAAACTTGCAAGTCTGAAAGTACAAATCTTCCACTATCTCTTTTTAGAGTCTGCTAAAATAGGGAGAGATCCTTTCTAAGTTTCTTTCTCTGCCTATTATGGAGGCTCCCCCTTTCTCTGCCTTTTATCTGATCATTCTAGGTATTCCCATGTACCATTATATAGGTACTCTCTTGAACTAGGTTTAAATGTTCACTTCTAAACCAATGTTACTTACTCTGCTTTTTTGACTATTGGTATGATATGATTAAAATTAATATTAAATATAATATTCATTGAGCAACTATTACATAGATAACCTTTAAAAATGAGAAGAACATTAGAGATAAAAACATATTAGAGAGGGCGCATTCCTAAATGGATGTAAAAGCGAAATTGGAACATGTAAAAAGGGACCTTTAAAAATTAGTTGTAAATTCAAGGAAGAATGGTGTATTTCCATAAGAATCATATAATAACTGAAATAATAAACATTAATTCCTTGAATATGATGTTGAACACTGGAATCTTCAGTTGGTTCACATTATTTTTAGCAGGGATCATATACTGACCATATTTGCGTATTGAGTATTTGCGGGACCGTCTTCTGCCGCCGATAGCCTCCCACCGGCCAGTACGCTCCCACAGAGAGGGACTCTTCAGGGTGCCGTCAGCCAGGCAGTGTCGGCTGGCAACCCCCAGGGGGAAGGCCTTCTCTGTGGCAGCACCTGCCCTCTGGAACGATTTGCCCCCAGAGATACGCATGATACCAGATCTCCGGGCTTTTCGCCGTGCCCTAAAAACTTTTCTTTTCCACCAAGCAGGGCTGGCGTAACCCCCCACCTTTTGAGATGTTAGATTTTTAATTGTCTATGGGTTTTAGTTGGGATGTTTTAAATTTTGGGCCAAAGTTGTGTAATTCTTTTTTAAAAATTTAAATTTTGTATTGGAATGTTTTTTATTTTTGGCTGTGCACTGCCCTGAGTCCAGCAGAAGGGCAGTATACAAATTTAATAAAAATAAATAAAATAAAATAAAACATCATATCCCCATATATCATAATCCAAAACAATATCACTGGTTGCTGACTGATTTTTGAGAGAATAAATCTTTCTTTCCTTTTGATTCCATCTTTATTTTTGCTACCCGTGAGTTAATTTTTAAATCATGATATGCTATGGCAGATTCTGAAGCTATCTGGCAACAATGGCAGACAAAAAAGACAATTCGATTGTACAAATATTTTTAATTCTGAGCCTGATTGACTATTCTGAGCTCCGGATAAATGAGGGATTTGTCACAAGCTTTAAAATGAAAGAAACAAAGGATGCTCTTGTAGTTTCCAACTTTCTATCTTCATAGGATAGCTTGAAACTCATTTTTAAGAGCAAGGAACTCATTTTTAGAGTCCGCTCACTGTATTCCAATATTTATAGACCTTGAGGGTGTAATCATACTGTTACATGGATGAAAGTGGTTGAATAGAATTGTAAAGCAGATAGATTGCTGAGCTGCAGCAGCTAAATGTAAATTGAGCAAATGGTAAAGCAATCAAGGTCGTTTTACTTCCATATTTTGAATATATTCCAGACCAATAAACTTGATACCTCAAATTCGCCACTCTCCTGGCCTAAACAAACAGTCAATGGAATCATATACACAACCATTTTTCTTGTTAATTTATATTTCATGTTCTTGCCTCAACATGAAATATTCATCTCACAAGATGTTTTTTTAAAATGAGTAGAATTATTGTCCCATGGGTCAACAATAATGCATGAATCAAACCTTAGATATTTTTACATCAGTGTTTCTTTGCTTTATGCTTCATGCAAATCAAATAAACTTTTTCTGTATCATTAAAAAACATTATGATTTCTTCCAGCTTCTTGCACAGACTTTTATCAGTAGTGAAATGTTCCAGACTTGTATATCTTTGAATACAAGAAGTAAAACATTTACATGAACACTTCCCACAGACATAAAAACACTTCCCCAAACATTTTTGTCAATTCTTGGCCCAAATCTTTGTTCAAAACAGAAAGAGAACATATCCTATTAGACCAGGGTGTCAAACTCACAATGTCACGTTGTCGTTACATGACATATCATGACTCCTCCCCTTCTCTAAGCCAGCAATGGGTGTGGCCAGTGCATGGCACATCCGGCCTGCATGTTTGACACCCCTGTACTAGACCCTAAAATGAATGAAAATGATGATAGTTTGTGGATTTTTTTCCATTCTGTCTGTTTTGAATGTTTATCACTTTATTCGTGTAAATATATGATACAATATGAGATGAAAAATATGTCCAGTTGGATTTTTTTAAAAAAATAAAATATTGAGAAAATAGAGCAGGGATGGGCAATTAATTTTCCAAAGGGGCCACATGAGAAACTTGGACTGTTGTGAAGGGCTGTCACCATTGCTACCATCACCAATAGCACCCCGTCCCCCCCCCAAGCTGCTGAGGGCTGGGCAGGGACAGTCAGAATGAGAGTAACACTGGCATTGCTGCACAAGAGGACTTTCTCTAAATGAGGTGGCAGCAATCACTGATCTTCACAGCCGCCTCCTCTTTCTCTCTATCAGCCGCATGGTTCACTTGAGCTACCTGTACTGTTGCAGATGTGGATTTTAAGAGGCTACCAGATTTTGAATGGTAGGGACAGGGTGTTTTAACAGCCGGCTTGATCATATAAGCGAAGAAGCAGAACAATGGCGAAATCCCTGACCTGCTTAACCTCTGCCTGCAGGTGCCGGAGCTGAAGGCACTGCTCGAGCCGTTTGTGCGTCTGATCAGCATTCAGCTCCAACTCGTGCTGTTTCTCATGAAGGAATTCCAGCAGCTCTTGCACTTGGATTGCTAGATCGATGTCCTTTTCACAGATCAGTTCAATTCCTGGAACAGAATAAACGTCCTCAGATGGGAAAAAAACCCTAGACAAGCTGCTTATTGCTCCCTTTTTGGGGAGGGAAGGGGAGCCCAGCTGATATGACCTATAATAATATCAGACTTTGGCTGAAGGTAAATTACGTTAGATTGAACCCATACAGTTGATACGAGCATTGGAAAACATATTCTTAGCTGCTCTTAATCTGGCATTTCTTGTGATTTTATTGAAGCTAGTGTCTGCATAGGATATATGTTCATGAACCAATATTATTCTTCCCATTTCATTCTTTCTTGGACGCAGCTATTTGAAATAACAATTTGCAACTGGAAAGAATGGTGTATTGAATCAAAGCAAGAAAGTATTTCTTCATATAAATATAAAGAACACAAATTAGAAGTTAGTTCCTTGTAACTATCCCATTAGTTCTCCTGCGTTAAGATAATATCATTCTTTCACAATGGAAAGAAAGAAGTAAACAAAAGTAAAGGACTTCATTTTTAGCAAATAAACAGAGAAGATAATCTGCTAAGCATGGGAGCACCATAGTTAGTCATACTCTTTTCTTCTGTGCAGTTTGTTCATTGTGAAGCGCTACATTCTGAGTGAGTTGTTTTAATAATTAGATTTGAATTGTGGCATTAGAATGTTCAAGCAATGTTCTTTATATCTCCTTACTACTTCATTTATTCATTTGAAAATGTAGCTGATGTATTTCAGTACTTTAGTACTTCAATTCTACTTATGGGAACAATGATGTTAAATAAGAAATGATAAAGAAATGCACACCCATACACGTATACAGAATGATTCACGACTGAGCTGAATTATGGCTATTAGAAAATTCAATATTATACATTACTGCTATTCCAAATCAGCAATCTTTTCAGATTTGGTTGAACATCCCAAAGCAGACACTTAAAGTCATCTTTCAGATATGAAGGGAATGTTTATTTTAGCTATTTGACTAAACTTATAAGGACATATTGTTTGTAGGCACTGTTTGCAATCAACTCCACTTGAAAAGAAGTATCCTTGTTTAACGACCAGTTTTTCAGTGACTGTTTCAACCTAAAGCAACACTGAATAAATTATAGTTAAGACTGGACCATATACTTACGTTTATCACTGTGTCTGCAGTCACATGATCTGGATTTGCAACCTTCCTTGCTGACTTCCCACAAATAAGTCAAAGGGGAAGCTGACAGGAAGTTGGAAGTTGCAGAAATGTGAAGTTCTCACTTAACAACTCGCATGGTCCTTACTTAATGATGGCAAATGGGACTCCTGGAAATGTTATCACTAAGTGCTGTGTTCGCACGGTTTCTAAATTTAGGATTGCATTACTTAATTACTGTTTCCAGGTCCAATTAATGAAGGACTATCAATATTGCTATCATAACATTGAATGATTTAATTTTCTTAGTACTCATTATAAAAACAAATCACATTTCAGACAAGGGAAAATCCTATGGTCATTTAGCAGAATTTTGGAAATCTGACCAGTATTATATTTAGAGTTGACAAGCAGTTTAAGCTAAATATACTGCTCAAAAAAATAAAGGGAACACAAGCAGAAGACATCTGAGATCTGAATGAATGAAATAGCCTTATTAAATACTTTATTCTTTACATACAGTAGTTTATACACTGCTCAAACAACTAAAGGGAACACAAAACTACTGTATGTAATGAACAAAGTATTTAATAAGGCTATTTCATTCATTCAGATCTCGGATGTCTTCTGCTTGTGTTCCCTTTATTTTTTTGAGCAGTGTATATCTGTAGATAATTAGGTAAGAAGCATGATGATCACCACAGGATAGATGATTGATAGAGGATAGATGAGATTGCACTGATAAAACTGATACCTTTAGTTTTCTGATCAATATTATTTATCTCAAAATTCACTATTAAAATCTATTTGGTGTAAATCACAATTATGTTTCTGCTTATAAGATACATCTGCATGAAGTACCTTCTTTTCGTACTTCCCTGTTATGATTTTTTTCCTTTTCCCTCCCCCCATACCTTCCAAAACCAAAATACTGTATACTGATACTATAAATAAATACTGTATACAAGACGCTGTATACAAGATACTATAATGTGGACAAGGATTGTTACTGGAAGAATTAAAATTACAAAGGCGATAAAATTAAGTGGGCAGGGTTCTCTTGGGCAGAAGAGAAGGGAAAAACATGAAAGGGTAGCAATTTTATTAAAAATGATGGTAATTTTCTTGAACTCAGAGGTAGAGTTTAGTACTTCAACTAAAAGTTGAAGTTTTTTATCCAATACTGTGTTTCCCCAAAAATAAGACCCTGTCTTATATTTTTTGAACCCCAAAATAAGCGTTTGGCCTTATTTTTGGGGAGATCTTATTATTTTGGGGTAGATGGAGCAAGACGGGGCTCCTCTTGCCGTCTTACCTGATTTCCAGCTCTGTCTCCCTAACCCTAACCAGAGGAAATGGCGGGGACCAGCTGTGCTTGCGTTTAAATATTTTAGTGCATGCACCCAAAAGCCTGATTGGGCTTATTATCAGGGGATGTCTTATTTTTGGGGAAACACAGTAAAAAGAAGGTGTGCATTGTATGAAAAGAGTGCAGATAACCAAAACTAATAAAAGTTCTAGTTCTAATTCTCTCACAGACCAAAGCAAACAGCTTGGTATGAGATTTGGCCATCGCTGAAACAAGAAAGAGATGGAAACTATTTTTCCCTTAACCAAAGGAGAGTTACTTGCAGTCCTTTACATACATAGAAAAAGATACATTTAATTAATTGATTGCATATTTGATCAACGAGTTGTTGCAGTTCATTTGCAGTGGCTTCTTTGGCTTTGTACAACAAATCAGATCTGTCCAGCTTGCCAGGAAGAAGCCTACCAATAGATTCACTGGTCATGTGATAAAATACATTTTAACAGTGATATAAAGAACAAAACTTAGTGATGCGGTGGCCTAGAGGTGGAGCTCTCGCCTCACAATCAGGAAAACTCACAATGTGAGTTCGATCCTAGGTAAAGGCAGATATTTCTCCCTCTGGGCACACTGTGAATGTATCTGCTGAATAAAAACTCCGCACTAGTGACAGGAAGGGCATCCGGCCAGTAAACATTCAGCTCCATTCAAGTTGCCCAGATTCCACCCCACAAGGGATTATGTGGTCGTTAAAAGAAGATGATGATATAAAGAACAAAATCTATGTGATCTAAAAAGATCTATACCCCAAGACACTTAATGTTTGAAAAAGAAATACTTACCAGCTGTATCAGCTATTACAAACTATGACTGCAAATACATCAAAGATCTGCAGTAAAGTGTATATTAAATTCTGGAAAAGTCCTGAAGACACACAGCATCCTATATAGGCTAACTATAATAAATGTGTGTCCCATGTCTCACATTTATTTTTTTTTAAAATCTGTCTCTCCAAATGGGAAGATGACTAGGCTCTAAACAGGAAGTTCCGGATCCATTCTGCCTTATTGGAAATGAAGAAATTGTTTTGTTTGGTCAGGAGGAACAAACTGCTTTCACTTTTATGTATTTTTCTTTCCCATACAGCTGTTTACAAAACCACATATGCAGGATGATCATTGTCTCAGTCCTGAATTTGCTTGTGTTTTAAGTATTATGGTAAATCCTTGATGAAAAAAGAACCCCTCGCTATGTAGGAGCTTTTCCCTAAATCAGTTGTGAGCTAAAAAGGGTACACTGAGATGATTACATAGGCCATATAACATTTGCACAGAAACAGAGAGCTATGGTGGCACAGTGGTTAGAATGCAGCATTGCAGGCTAATTCTGCCGAATGCCAGCAGTTCGACCCTGACTGGCTCTAGGTTGACTCAACCTTCCATCCTTCTGAGGTCAGTAAAATGAGGACCCAGATTGCTGGGGGCAATATGCTGACTCTGTAAATCGCTTAGAGAGGGCTGTAAAGCACTAGGAAGCGGTATATAAGTCTAAGTGCTACTGCTGTTGTTATTTCAAGCCAAATCAGATGAAAAGCAAAACAGAATCCTTAATGTGAAGAGACAGAAGTAATGTGCCTTTGCCCCTATAGTATTTTGTTACTGTGATGACAGGATTAGTTTTTTGTTTTTTTTAAAAAAAATACTTTGATTGATGACATTACAAAACATGGGTTCAAGTCATTTTTCTTGGTAATTTTAATACCCTGAGATTGTCTCGAATAGATAAAACACCAAAACTTCAGATTTCAAAGAAGAACAGGATTCAAAACGGAAAGGGCAAAATATTTGATGTGGTTCTGATTCCTTTTTCATTTTGTTTAAACTACCAGTTATCCATTCTGGGGTTGTTTTTTTGCCACTTGTCTTTTGTATCCTGCCCCCCCCCCTTTTTTTAGGATTTACCTGGTTTTATGAAATCTGAGAGATTAAGTAAATTTCTATCTGGATGTAGGAAAGCTTTTACTGTAGTACGGGAAAATCAAATGACTGGGAAAATCAAATGACTTTTGATTTAATTTCCTTCGTATTTATTCCTGGTAGACATCTCTGGTCATACTGTAGTACATTTCTGTGAAGACAAATTTATCCCTTCCACTTACCTGAGGCTTGCACTTCCATAATGTACTGGTGCAAATCTTGTCCTTGCTGAATGACTTCAAAGGTCATATTGTTCATAGCCAGTTTCCTCTCTGTATGCCGCTGCAGACGTTGTTCAGCCAAGGTGAGATCCTCGGTGTTGAAATCATTCATTTGACGTAGTAAATCCTCATTCCAGGCATCTAATTCAGCGGTCACCTTCAAAGTATAAAAGAAAAAAGAAAAAAAGGAATGCAGAATAAGCAGGCAAAATCATTAAAATTAAGATTACCAGGGGAAAAATATCTAAAATAGAGTGTGTAACCACAGAAGAGAATAAACCTAATTACATTCCAGAAATTTTAAAATTACCATCGCATAAGCTACAGAGAAATTGAGAAGCGCTTTAATTATGTGTTGTTTGTAAAGAGGTTCATTACTGTAAAAACTTAGAAAATCATTTTAGACTGAAAATTATGAATGCTTAA